ACCTACTACCAACATGTATCCAGGCAACAGTGATTTTTATTCAAATACGTCAACACTCAACAAATTCACTATTTTTTGTAAACAAAAGATAGATTTTCCAGGATCTCAAAAATACCCAACTCAATTTTTACAGGACAAAAGTTCAGACCGAGTCGTTTCAGACATCATCAATGAATTTTACTCAAACATCTATTTATATATGTGACGCCCTGAATAAAACAAATAATTAAATATTTTTTCAAAAACAAAAGGTGAAACTTCCAGTTGGATTTTGTATATAGCTGATACATCAATCACCCTATATATTTTTTGTCTGTAGCTTGTCAAAGTCGATTCTTCAGACATCATCAATGAATTTAACTCAAACACCTATTTATATGTGACACCCTGTATAAAGCAAATTCACTATTTTTTCAAAAACAAAAGGTGAAACTTCCAGTAGGATTTTGTATATAACTGCTACATCAATCACCCCATATATTTTGTGTCTGTAGCTTGTATCAAAGTCGATATATATATTTGTTTCAAACAATTCGAACTCAAACATGAAAGCATTATCTAGCAAACTAGTATACATACTTCACTGACAATTAATCTAAGTATTTCTTGTTTCTAAAGTTTGGCAAAAAGTATGCGCTTTTTTCGTGAAAGAAACTTCGAAACACATGACCTGGGTATCATGAATTGAATCACTTGTGGCACAGTAGCTTGTGGGGTCAATAACCGGCATCAAAACACCCATATACAGATCAGATTATCGAACAAAAACTTACCCATAAGGTTCAAAAAACCTAAAAATAGTGTATATGACCAAGAAAATATGACAGAAATATCTCAATGCACGGCGACTTGCAATAAATTAAGAAAAGGACCCCGCACAAAACCATAGGGAATTGGCCCACAGTGGGATTTGCCTGAAATTCACCTATGTTATTGGTATGGAGTTTCTGATCAAATGTCTTCATGTGACCAATCCTCTAAGACCAAAGATTCAGCTCTCAGGGCCGTATTTAGTATAGGTGCAAAATAAACAATATGACATTATTTTTTTCAAGCCCATGATTTTTGTATCTCCCATTATAATTTAATTGAATGAGAAATGTTGCGAAATCTTGGCATTTGTCTTTCAGCACAAGTCCTCTGTAAAACATGCCTTGTCCTACAGGACCGTATTCAGTAAAACTGTATTTGCCAAAGTGCCGAATCGAATCGATTTTGTTACTACTTTCTTATTTCTTGTCCTATTTCAGTGGTTGTTTGATAGATAAATGTAGATTTCTTCGTGCACATAACAAAAGTGATCACCATCTCAATATTCAAGATGGTCGGCCTAACATTTAATCTTTATGTAGGACATATCTCGTAGATTTTTAGGAATCATAGTAACAGGAAAAGATAAGAACACGTTTCGATTGTTGAAATCGGTCATTCACTTTTTCAATTACCTAAAATTGTTCTAAAATTCATCTAATTCATTACTAACAAAGTTGAAACCGATATTTATAGGGTGGTGAACGAAAAAGTCGAGCACTCACTATCAACATAATTCCCGAACACTTACAGCTGCTGGAGTATTGCATCTTGCACTGGACGATTTGCGGCATCTTTAATATGCTGTAACACAGAAGTCGATGGATAATTCACATTTTGATTATGGCGGAAAAATCCTAAATACCACAATATGCTACAAATATGAGCACATGTTTCTAGTGGCCTTGCCCCTGATTTGCAACTGCAGTAGTATCCTATTATCAATACATCTTCTTCATTATTCTCGTCTGGTTTTCATGCGGACTGTATTGAATAAAAACTTGATATTTTTGTCTCCTCCTGAATCGAGAATACACTCTAAGTCTGATGAATCCAGGTTCATTCACTCTGAGATCAATTTCAAACGACTCATGATCATCTCTAAGTATTCTGTCTTGGACATAGGACGCTAATAATTTGATTTGATATGTTCCAAAAGTCACGTTTCTCAAGTTCTCCATAGATAGGTGTGGAAGTCGAGGAACATGCTCATTATTAAGTTGCTGCCATAATCCACGTCGATTAGAGAGGTTTTAACATGATGACCACTTATGTTATGTACACAAAGAAATCTAAATTCAAACGACCACTGAAATAGGACGAGAAACAAGAAAGTAATAACAAAATCAATTCGATTCGGCACTTTGGCAAATACAGTTTTACTGAATACGGTCCTGTAGGACAAGGCATGTTTTACAGAGGACTCGTGCTAAAAGACAAATGCCAAGATTTCGCAACATTTCTCATTCAATTGAATTATTATGGGAGATACAAAAATCATGGGCTTGAAAAAAAAAGTGTCATTGTTTATTTGGCACCTATACTAAATACGGTCCTGAGAGCTAAATCTTTGGTCTTAGATGATTGGTCACATGAAAACATTTGATCAGAAACTCCATACCAATAACATAATATGTGAATTTCAGGCAAATCCCACTGTGGGCCAATTCCCTATGGTTTTGTGCGGGGTCCTTTGCGAGAAAATTGCATTGCCTCAAACTTGCCGAAAAGCATAATTGAGATATTCTCTCAACTAAGTTGAGTGGTGGTAGCGACTCCTCAACTGTTTTTGTAACAAAATTGTACAACGATTCAGAACGAGAATAACACTTCTCACCTTTCATTGAGAGATGGCGCCACGATCGTAATCAATAAATAAAAATTCTGAATTCTGCCATTCCGTTGTAAACACGAAATTACCCCCACAAAACTCAAACACAGTGTTTTAGTTCCGTGAATTACCCACGATCTGTGATCGTGAAATTCCTCAGCGTCAGCTGGTCAGCCAGGTCAGCTCAGGGAGTCAGAGTCAGACACAGACAATGAGGTCTGTGGAGTCAGAGCTCACTGCTCAGTGCTGAGTGCTCACTGGATCTTCGAATGAAATGTGAAGATGTCAATATTTTTATTATTTCATTTTAACTTTTACATTATTTCCATCCCAAAGCACATTTGAAAAAATATATGATTATTTTAATTGTGCCAAAGTGTGGTTCATTCTTGTGAAAGTGCCTATGATGGTTCCATAGAAAAGACAAGTGCAATTTTAGTAGCCAATCTAATGATTTTTTTTTTCACTTTTTCTGTAATAATGAAAAATGCAATGAGTACCTACTCAATTTTGCTTTATTTCAACATATAAACCAGTATATATGATATGATATGATCAACACTGTGAATAATTCAAAGCTTGATGTAATTCTATACAAGGAATAAGAATAAATTGATTATGAAATATCTCCATTATTCTCCATCTCAAGACCTTGCTCAAGTGTGATTTTGGCAGTAATGAAATCTTTTCAAATGTTGTTCTTCCTGCTTCATTGTAGAAATATATGTAGGGCAGTTAATTTGTTATCTGGAAAACAAATATCAGTTACCTATTTATGAAAGTTGAAAATTATATATAAGACTTACAATTTGCCAAGAATTTAGAATTCTTCTTTTTCACCAACAGCATGATAAATTTTGTAGGAAATGCAACAGTTTTTTCAATCTTTGTCTTCCCTTGATTGTAAAAGCTAGTAAGTATAGTATTGTAGGCTTTACTTCATACATCACATCTATGCCTTACTTTCTTCACCACTTGCTTGGGTGTGAGCTTCACAACTGAATTCTTTCAGTTCTGCAGTTCTTTATGCCTACCTAAAAATGTGGTTGAAATTTCAGTAAGCAAAAGGATCAATCAAGCATAATTGACTTCATCAGGCTTCAGCATAGACAAACCATGAGCTTAGAGTTTCAAAGCAGCAGAAGTTTGTACAACCATCAGCTCAAAGATCTCAAGTTTCTGTATACGTTTCACTTCAACAAATCAACATTATTTCTTGCTTTGTATACCTGTTCGTCTTCCACCATCGGCCGATTTTCAAAAGCACTCAAATCGCTGTAATTTCGAAATAAAAATGATTGGAGTGGAATGTGGTTCTCATTGTTTTCCGCATTCCACTGATAGCTTTGACATCAATATCAATGCTTTGACTTACTTTTCCTGCTATCGGAAAAATTTTCGAGGAGGAATATTATTTTCAGAGGCATTGGTAAGAAACTTCAACAACATGATAATATATAAATAAAATTCAAATGAAATTCGTACGAAAGGGCAGAAGGGTCATCAAAAATAAAAGAATAAAAGGAATTATTGCAACTTGTAACGTGCAGCAATTCAATTACTGCAACTTACAACTCGCAATAATTCAAAATACTGCAACATACAAATTGCAGTAATTGAATTACTGCAACTTACAACTTGCAGTAATTTGAATCACTGCAACATATAACTAGCAGTAATTCGAAATAATGCAACATATACAACTAGCAGTAATTCAAATCACTACAACTTACAACTTGCAGTAACTAAAGCACAGAACAGGCTGAGAAGAAGATTAACTGAGGTTAACTCATAGATCAACTACTCTGTTAACTTAAATACCAGCCAGATTCCAAACACCGTATAGAAGTTTACCATAAAAAGCTTGGATTGCATCCACCTTGTTTTGATATTTTTATACCTTTACAGGGGCAATTACATAGGTACCTAATAGAATGGATCAGGATGAGTTGGTTCAATTTTATTTTCACTTGGGATTAAGCCACAAGGAATTGATGGCTGTGCTAACATTGAACCATAATATAACAGTCAGTGGTGAAAGCACCTTGAGAAGACATCTCAGAAATCTTAGACTGTATGGAAGAAAATATTCAACAGATCTTACTGAAGTAATTCAGTTCCTTTCGTACTAATACTGGTTAGAAGCACTTAGAAGAGGGTTAGAATTACTGCGAGTTGTGAGTTGCCATTCTTTTAAAATACGTTCCCCACCACGCGCTTTATTTCTTGCGATCTCTCTCTGCAGGTACTAGTGAAATAGCAACAAAGTGAGAAGATGAAGTGACAAGTGACATTCCAATCAATTATTAACCTCAAAAAAATATCGAAACGTCATATATCTTTTTAAAATCATTCAAATATGTGGGAAGTTTTAAAAAAACTGAGACGTTTTGATGCTTATCCCAAAACACTGGAAGATGTTAGAATTCAAACCTATGGTGGTGGTGCAAGTGATTAGCTTCTTCTTTCAGAATATAACATAATTCAAAAGATTTTATTTTTCAGTCACGATTATCAGTTTCATGATCATGGGTTTGCTGTTTTGGTCTGAACTTGTAAATTATATGACGCCCAATATTACAGAAGAACTATTTGTGGACACATCAAGAAGTCCAAACATCCAGATCAATTTAGATTTTATAATTCCAAAGATTTCATGTGATTGTAATAAACAGTTATTAGTTGAACATCTGACAAGTACATTACTAATTGAATAAATAGTTTTAGCATTAGACGCGATGGACTCTTCAGGAGAGCAACATTTAGAAATTAATCACAATATTTATAAAAGGAGGTTAGATCTGGAGGGTAAACCAATTGAAGCACCAAAAAAAGAGAATATCACAGTAAAAATAAAAAGTGAATCCACTGTAAGAATGATTCCATTTGTATTCGTTCCTCCTGCAAATATGATATTTTCAGGAGACTACAAATAAAACAGAATGTGGCAGCTGCTATGGAGCAGCAGATAGGTGTTGTAACACCTGTGAAGAGGTAAAAGAAGCTTATCGTGAACGAAAGTGGGCCTTGGATAATGTCCAAAACATAAGCCAATGTAAAGATGAAAAATATGGTGAAAAATTGAAAACTGCTTTCATGCAGGGTTGTCAGATATATGGGAGTCTTATTGTAAATAGAGTAAGTGGGAGCTTCCATGTAGCTCCTGGTGAAAGTTTCAGTGTCAGTCACCTCCACGTCCATGATGTTCAGCCATTTTCATCTAGTGATTTCAACACTAGTCACAGAATTCGTCATCTTTCATTTGGAGAGAGTATAGATAGTCAGACCCATAATCCTTTGAAGGATTTGCAAGTTCATGCTTTGGAAGGTAAGTTCCTTTGATATCATTGCACTAGTACAGTTTTACAGCACTAATTATGAATTTATTTGTGGTATCTTCAAGGGTAGCTCTGTTTTATGGCTTACCTAAATTTCAACAGTCTAATACAATATGATAAATAAACCAACACATTACTCATTTAAAATCATCATTGACAATTTTAGTATTTCCACATATCTCAAATTCATCACTAGGATGGGTACAAAGTAACTTGTGCAGCTTGATTTTTTTTATGGCAATCTCATGCAAAATTCAACATATTCCTAACTTGAGGATAATGAATGAATGTTTTGTTAATTTCAGATATAAATTCTGAATTCACTAGTCCCCTTCTCTAATTTTAGAGTTGGATGGGTAGTACCCAGGTTAGGACCATCACACTAAATATGAAAAATGCTAGAATTCTGACATGTTGCTATAGCTATCTTAAAAACCTCTTAATTGATGTGATAATCAAGGTGAGAATGCTAGAATTCCAACAGTTCACAAATTGACAGTTGAAATGTCCAATTGATCTACACTAAAACCACTATATTAAGAGACAAACCACTAAGATGGCAAGACAACATTTTTATTTGCTCAATGCTTTTTACTGTGCAGCAGGGAAAAGCATCTATTTGGAGAGGTATTGGAAATGAATCACCAACACTGTTTTCAAGTTCAATAAGCTACTGAACTAGTATTGAATATTTCACATTCAACAATGAAACTTTGGTGTTATAGACATTGAAAGATTTTCAGTGCTATTCAAATGAATTCTGTTGCCAATAATGAGCCAATGCACTGGTCAAAGTTGTTTGAAATTACAGCCTGATTCAAACAGAATGTGCCTTCTCGCCATTCAGTAGTGATCTTGATGATAATGCCAAGCTTCATCAATCCATTTGTTTTTGGTGATTTTACCAACTAAATGAGTTTTCCTGGAAAATATAAAATCATCCATTAAATTCAGGACTCCTTTGATTTCCATGAGCACAAAAAATAGCATATTGTATACCATGGGACTAAAATACAGGAAACTTAATAAGTTACCTGCCTGACCCCAACCACAAGTAGTTGACATGATATGTATACTCACAAGATGACACTGGCGCCATGGCGATATTGTTGATGATGTAACTAAAGGTAACTAAGGCGTTTTTTTTTCTGGGACCTCTACAAAAAAATCACATTTTACGTTCTCATTTCCCAACAAAAACTGACCATTTCCGAAGGCAAGTACTTTTCGTCTGCAGTCATCAAGTTTTCGTCCGCAGACACTGACTTCTCGTCCCCCGCCACTGACTTTTCGTCCCCCGCCACTGACTTTTCGTCCCCCGCAGTTCTATTGAATTCTAATGAGATCTGATCTACTGATCCACTGAAACATTTTATAACCTACTGAAACATATTTGGACACTTATTCATCATTATAATTACCTATATTATTATTGATTAATTATTAATCACATACACTTATATACATTGCATGATATTTCGGCGCACTCTGTTCAAATTAATTTTACAAAATAAGTAATAAATTCACATATATATATATAGGTACTAATGATATGTATATAAGGGCAATACTTCATCTGATTCAGATCAAATTAAATTTTTTATAACAGTTTGTAACATTTAATTTCTTAATTTGTTTTGTATTTTTGTGGTTCATTTTTACTATTCATTCCTGTTTTTAATAAACTCAAATCTAATAAGTACTTACCTATATGGTAACTGTAAACTGTAAATTGAGAATTAGGAATATTGAAAAGGAATATATATTATGAACATAAAAAAATGAGAAAATGCATGGATATACATATAAAGAAATACATTGAGAATTCACATTCTCTATGTGATTGAAATATCAATTTTTTCTCGGTTTATTCAACAGAAAAAACTACTTTCCTGGCTATATGTCATGACGAACATTGAATTATATCTATTGAACACACAAGATAAGAATTTGAAAAACTAAATCTTCTAATGTTGAGAATTTGCATTCTCCTTCAGATAAAAATGTATTTGCACATAACATCATTCTGAATATTTAACAGAAAACAACTACTTTCCTGGCTATTGGCCACGTCGAACATTGTATTATATCTGTTGAACATCCATCCAAAATAACCATGTTACAGCACGGATTTGCTGTTTTACCCCCAAAACTGTGCTTTTCTCCAAAAATAATTGAATGTTCACCCAACCGTGAAAAATACTAACCATCCAGTTAATGTTTGTCATGGTTGAGTTCACATGTTAATCTTTTTATATTACAAAACTATATAAAAGGCTATATGGAATAGGTCCATTATCCTTATTCATTACTCTATTACTATTGCCATATTTATAAGGAAAAATTGTATATACTGGGTAATCCACTTTCGAGTTATGACGTCCGTCAAATGAAACGTTCTAGATACAGGGTATCCCATGATTAGCGTGTGATACTTCACCAGCAGATTCAACGATCAAAAATGAGAAACTAGTTTCTATAAAAAGGTTGAATAATGTTTCATGAGCGAGCTAGAATACCCTAAAGGTGGTACCTTGAAGAAAGTTTTTATTTTATATATACGAAACTGTTGATAGTAGAATTATGAATTTTTTTAAGTCGGCCAATCTTTTTATGTCTAATGATATGCAATAATAATAATTTCAAAATTGAAATGGGTCAAACTGTGGGGGGTAACTTTTTTAAGTGCGATTTTTTGGCAAATTAAGCATGCAATTATGTGTCATAAAAATTCAATGAAATTACAAAAATTAAAAATTTGAACGTTGGCCATGAAACACCACCGGTATGTTCAGGAAAAAATAATCAAGACAGGTGACAGATTCATGAAATAAGTGACAAAAGGTGTGCGCCAATGAAGTGGACATGCGAATAAATGAGGCTGAAAGTGAAATTAGATTAAAACAATTCCAAGAATTCTGCGCGCTTCTCAAGCAATAAATCGTCAGGCTCGACTATGCGTTCAATAAAATGGAAGCCACTTTCATCAATTACTTGAGTGAAAAAAATGACGCTCAGATAAATTTAGTATTGTTTATAAATTGGATAAATCTACAAACCCTCTGTCACTTATTTTATGAATTTGTCACCTGTTTTGACTATTTTTCCACAGACATAGTGGCAGTGTTTAATGGTCTATGCTCAAATTTTTAATTTTTGTAATTTCATTACCAATTTTCAGGGTACCACCTTTAGGGGGCTGTAGCTCGCTAATGAAACATTATTCGATCTATATTTATACGAACTTTAATCCTATTTTTGATCGTTGAATCTGCTACTGAAGTATTTACGTTAATCATGGGACACCCTCTGTATATTATCCAATTCTTGGAATCTTCATGTTTTGAAAAAATGGCACATATGGTTTGTATACAGTGCGTCCATTAAATTTAGTGCTTTCGTGAAGTAGTAGATGAGTTTGATAAAAATTGAAAGAATAATTATTGAAAAGATCGCTCGAAGCCGTTGAATTTTATTTTTATGCGAACATTCTTTCAAATTCAAATAATACATACAGAATTCCGTGTAGAAGAAATTATACGTCACCGGTATTTTTTTCAATAGCAACCCCATTTTACGAGAGCACTGATTTTAACGGACGCACTGTATGCAAACCCCTTTGTTTGATATAATTTTGAATTCAGCTTCTCATGGAGATTTCAAGAATACAAAAATATATAAGGTGTTTCGTTTCAAAAAATAGTGGCGGACGTCATAACTCAAATGCTCACCCTGTATATTTAATTTTCCCTCATATACTTGGCAAATTGAAAACAAGAATCAAAGTATTGCGAAACAGTTGTCGACTTTTCACGGTTATTAGAAGAGAGGGCATGTAATAATTTCGAAAAAAAAATTATTATTTTTTTAAATTGAAATGTGGTAACTTTCTATTCCCCCTCCAGGCGGAATTGTTACTAGTTATACACTTGTGAACTATCTGAGAGGTGAATGGAAACAAGTTCATTGAATAATTACATTTGTGGACAGCTCAAAATTTGAAAAATAAGAAATATAAAATAAAATGGGGTGAATAGAAACAGCAAGCAAATACACATGAAAAAATAGATGTTAGTTGTTTAAAAAATATATGTGATAAAAACTACTTGATTTATTCGAATTTTAAATGCAATTATATTAATAAGGTATGTGTGAACCAATTTTGTGGATTATATCTTGATTTTTTCTCACCTTAGTACATAAACTTTATGAAAAACAGTGTTGCCAAGGGAAAAATCAGGATATTCGGTGAATTTATATTGTCACATATGCAATGCGTAAACCAAATAGAATTAAATTCGAGAAATTGGTAATTGTTCTCAACAAATGTTCCATACTTGTTTCTATTTGCCTTCAAGTTCCTATCCATCCCGTTTTATTTAACGGACGCACTGTATACAAACCCTTTCAATTCAGCTTTCTTTGTTAATTTCAAAAATTCAATAATATATAGGGTGTTCCGTTTGAAAAAAATATCGCGGACGTCTTAATTCAAATATGGATCACCATTTATATACAATTTTTCTCTGTAAATGTGGCAAATTGAAAATTCAAATCGACCTATTTCAGCAGATTCCTCAGAATTGGATAGTTTGGCTTATAGTAATTATCCTTTTTTGAAAGTTCAAGTTTCTTTAGTATTTTTCTTTGAAAACAATAACAGGCATAAGAACAAAAACTCAAAACCCACAACAGTGAAGATAATAATAGGTATACCTACCTAGGTAATGTTAGTATTCTAATGGAACCTAGTACAACTTGACCTTCTCAACTCTAGGAACTTTTGAATGTGAATATTCAGAGACAGAATTGAAATAAGTACTCATATAATTAAAGATTCACATTCATAACAGTTTACACTATACAACTATCAAGAGATACAATGACATTCTTGATCAGTCTCGACAATTCAATGGCAGCGTTTCAACACCTCAATCCTGATCCGATTGCTAAAAACGTTCCAAATGATCCTCCACCTTGCAACATCACT